TTTGGCTCTAATATTATTTTTTCTACCATTTAAAAAAATATACGACTTCAATAAAAATAAAATTAAATACTACGAAAAGATACTTACCGAATTGAAGTGCTGAAATTTAACTAAATTTTTCTATTGAGGTTGATAACTGATAAGTTTATGAAATTTTGAGGATGAAGTGGATGAAAAATGAAAGAGTTTTTATCGTGTTAGAGTAAACTGATGAAAAGACTGACTTCGTTTTCAAATTTCAATTGAGAAGTGTTTGGATTTTTATTTGTAACTTAAGGATATTTTCGTCTTTTTACTATATTTCTATTTTTGTAATTATATAACTCATTTAAGGGCGTTTTTGTCTTTTACACAAGAAATGGCTATTGTGGCGAATGTTAGATTTTTATGATTAAAATGAAAAATAGTTGGTTTGACAAAGCCAAACTTAAAAGTACCCCCTCCTGTGTGTGGGATAGCATAAAAAATTATTTCCATTCGTTCATTTTCTCTTTATTCATTCATAATCATCCAAGAGCCTAATGAATCCGGACCCGAGTAAAAATCCTGCTTATCAGACTCAATCCGGAACCAAACTAGAAGAAGCCCCTCGACCTTCTGCCGATTACGCTCCTTATCCGAAACTTGACCCGAAAGACGTTACTCCTGTCACTGACACGTGGAGCTCTTTCCCTGTCGGATCGGAGTCCCACGGATCGGGTAATAATAATGTACCCAGGTATCCGTCGGCTGCAGAAGGCCCGGCTCCGATTTCTGGTGTTGGCGCTGCCCCCACGCCGGCCGGGTCCAATCCCTACGTCTCTTCAGCTCCCGCCCCAGGATCATCTTCCTCGAAGAGTAAGACTCTTTTTTCGTTTTTATCAATAACTAATTTGACTATGATTTGAATTGGCTTCTGATTTCTGATGAATTTAATTTAAATATATCGTTTGGTTGTGGATGTTTGATGAAATGGATTCAGTAAAGGATGTACTGGGTCAATGGGGAAAGAAGGCTGCTGAGGCAACTAAGAAGGCAGAGGACTTGGCTGGAAACATGTGGCAACACTGTGAGTTTATTAATCTTTGTACTTTTTCTTCTTTTATGTTTATATTTTCATGTTTGGTTATGGCATTACTTAGTTATGGATTTGTGGCACATCTTTATGCGAACTACGCTTTTGAGGAAAATATGTGGCTGTTGTATGTTTGATATGGACTAGTTATTTGAGAGCATAGATGTAAAGATCACGCTTTCTCATTTTATAGAGTTCATGCATTTCCGTTACTGTTGAAAAATGTCGGTCGTGATCAGAATTCTACAATTGCACTCGTGCGCACACACCACATGTCCTCAACTTGTCATATACTGCCCGGTTGAAAAATGTAAAGTTTCACCCATGTTTCTTGTCTGAGCCCATGCGTCTTAGGATAATTGTCTTTTATAGTGGCGAGTATGTTGCAGTGTTTCGCATCATTAGTGCGGTTTATACGTGGTTGTTTAAATCTTGAGTTCTTATGCCCAACTCCCCAGTAAACCAATTTAACTGCCTTCTTTTGTTTCCCCTCCAAAATTGACTCCTTTTGGCTAATGTTTGATATTTCTTTGAGTAGATCAGTGGAAAAACTAGTTTTGTAAGGTCTGTGATCAGCTACTTCAATTCCAGGGTTATGAACTTAGCCCTTGTTTGAGCCCCATTTCTTCATCAAAATGCATTCTTGGACAATGATTTCACCACATTTCAACTACACATTCTTCAATAAAATAATATAACACACAAACCCAAAACTTTTCCTTAATTTTCAACCACACATTCTCTATCATAACACCATTATAAAATACATTTTTTGGAAAAAAATGGGGCTCAGACATCCCCTTACCATCGCTACCCTATATTAACTCAATGATGGCGAGTTTGCGAATTAATAATCCTAATTTTCTGGAACACTTTGTAATTTTTATCTTAAACACTCAAGAAATGAGTTCGACAAAAAATTCTGAAATTATGTTGTGAATACCAGTTGTATATAAAATTAGTAAAACCTAACCTTTTTTAAAAGTCTTGGTCCAAACTCTGTCCTAATGAAAACCCATTAAAGATATTTAAAAAAAAAGAAAAGAAAAGAAAAGAAAAGAAAAGAAGAAGAATGATTTGTGTAAACTATGATTCTAATTGAAAAAAGATGTTCAATTACTTCCTCGTACAATATGACTTTCTTGAATTGACATCTCATCAAATTTGCTATATTTTAGGAAATGACCTCTAGAAATAGTAAAAGCATATAATACTGTGATTTAAGAAGTTTGTATTATTTGGAAACTAAGGCGCCATTTGTTTCCCATTTATGTGAAAATGAGAATGAAAAATATAACCGTTACAGGTCCCACACAAGATATAGAAATTCAAATACGGTGGCTTGATGTGATGGATAACGGTTATATTTTTATATTTTAATGGGGAAAGAATGGGAAATAAATAGGGGCTAAATAAGTTCATAGATCTTTGGACAAATTTTTTGTAGATAGTGGTTATTTTTGATAATGTTGTACATATACTAACTTCTGTTTAATTAGTAAAAACTGGCCCTAGCTTGGCAGATGCTGCTGTTGGAAGAATAGCACAGAGCACAAAGGTATTGGCAGAAGGTGGATACGAAAAGGTCTTCCGTCAATCATTTGAGACCATCCCCGATGAGAAACTTCTGAAGTACTATGCGTGTTACTTATCTACTTCTGCTGGACCTGTCATGGGAGTCCTGTATTACTCAACTGCGAAACTAGCATTTTGTAGTGATAGTCCTCTTTCATATAAATTGGGTGACGAGACACAGTGGAGCTATTACAGGGTATGACGTGTATCACAAATTGTTTTGCTCTCATTTGATTTCCATGGTTTATGCACTCATCATTTTTGTCATAAATTTCTATGTCCTTATTTGCACTCATGTCTGAGTTATACCTCCATCCTGTTGTTCACATCATGATCCCCTTTATATTTCCCTTGATTTATCATAATGTGATCGTCATGGAGTTTCATTTACATCTTTTTTTTGGTACCATGTGATACGAGATTGTCAATACGTCTTAAGCACTCCCCACTATTTGAACAATGTGCTGTTTATGGCCCCCACTATATTTTGTTGTGTTCTTGACTACTTGGACTTGTTTACTTTGATCCAATATGAAATGCCTTTTAATGAACTTCCTCACAATTGGGATCCGTGACATAATGAAAGCTACAACCTTGCCCAAATTCCTCCAAACGCTAGCATTAATTGCCCAAGAGTGACTTAGCATTGCAATGGAAGTAGGGAAGCATAATGAAAACGTTGTGGAATAGGTCACAATGCTTGGGGTGCCTTATTTTCACGTTAGATATCTGAAGATGGAAGACTAGCTGATGTAGGATGAATAAGAAAAAAAGAAGAAGGAACGGGTAGGAGAAACAGAGAGAAGGGAGAAGAGGAGAAAAAAACCAGGGGAAGAGAGGGGAGGGAGAAAACGGCTGCAAGCCACCAAAAATATTTCAATTCTAATTCATCATCAACTGTCTCAAATGAGAAACAAAACAGAAATAAATAGCAGAAGATAAACCCTAAAGAGAAGGGCTTGGGCCAAACCCACTAAACAAGCCCAATAACGAAAACATAAACAATAGTCCAAATAAAATATAACTAAGAGTCCAAATAGAAAATAAATAATAAATGGATATCCGCATCAACTCTCCCGGGGTGGGAGAAAAACTCGACCCCGTCGAGTAGATAAAGTAGAATGTTGCACCCGAGCTAGAGCCGCAATACTGGAGCCTATCCAAATAAAGACGGTGGGAGGCCGTGGTTGTACGCGCTCTGGCACTCAAGTCAATGGATAGGAAAAGTATTTAGTGTAGAAGTGACACGAACGAAGAAGAAAATCGGGAGTTTGGGTTTATATTTGCGAATTACAATGTTGTTGAGCGTGAGTATTTATAGGCAAAGAATTTGAATTGAGGCTCTACAGATATTTGACGTGTGGCCTTTTTCCAATGGCTCACTAGTCAAACTCGATGATGTCTTAATGTCGCATCCTGTGTATAATAGGTCTGCGCTCTCACACGTTATCCTAGGCAAGGAATAGGGAATTTGACTCTCTATTGCCATTGCTGAAGACATAACATCAATCACTTGGTGAGGCCCATCTGATGCTGCTAATGTCGAAGCCCTCCTCATTGCCTTGGAGCCCAGAGGTGACATGTTTGCAGTGCCCCGGAGATGTTTGTACACAAGGCGTTGGGCTATGATCTCAATGCCTTGAAAAGCGATGATTGACAAGGCGATGGAACATGACCTCACCCCCTCATAGTTCAGATGGTGGTGGTGACATGCTCCGATTCAATAGTCTCTGAAAGATAGTGCTTACCTGGCAGGCCACAAGAGGCAGAGGCCTAACAAGTGGACTGTGGATGTCATTGCTTTCCTCTTAACATATGTTTTAAATATTGGATTTACTTAACTAAAAGAATGAAGGGTTTTGCCTGCCTCTGTCCAATGTAATGCATATATACAATACTGCGATTTGTTTTTTGTTATGTACAGAGTTGTATGCAATATAATTTTGTCTCATTTTCTTTAAGCAAATGAATAATTATCTGCATATGAGACATGACATCTAGTGCATATATGCACATTTGGATTTCCATCCATTGTGTTGATGTTATTAAAAGGAACGATCTTTTATATTTTGCACTCTTGGTTCTGTTAATAGAGTTGTATTTACTACTATAAAATTCAATTATGGCCTCACTTAATCGTTATATTTGAATGTACTTCCCGAGTTTATAACACGGTAATTTCGTAATGTGATTATTATCTTTAGACATCTTTTGCTGACCCAAGAAGGACCATCGTTTAGTTTCTAACTTGTGGAAATTCATTCTAGTCACGAATCCATTAAATACAAGTTCTGTATTTCTTTTTATTTGTGTAGGTGGTTATTCTGCTGCATCAGCTAAAAGCAGTTAATCCTTCAAAGAGCAAACTTAATCCAGCTGAAAAATACATCCAGATTATTTCTGTTGACAATCATGAGTTCTGGTTCATGGGATTCGTAAACTATGACAGTGCAGTGAAAAATATACAAGGTGCATTGGAGGCTCATCACTAGTCTTGAAGATGGTTTCCGAATGTTACTTCAGATCATGGCATGCTATTGTTGAGCGTGTAAAAATTCTGAATTGTGTGTGGTCGAGGATGTGCTTTATTTCGTACTTGAATTGTCTTGTCGTTTATTCGTTTAACTATATGCATTGTCTTGGTAAATAGCAACTATAGTGTGTACATTTGGGGGAACTAGTAATTCTTGCCATGAACTGTATACGTACAGGATTACATCTGCAAGTTGATTTGTCTTTCCTGATTTTGCTTGAAGTTTCTTTAATTGTTTCATTTTGTCTCTGAACTTTGAGTTAGCCCATATTACTGATTTAACGTAACAATTCTACCTGAACATTGCAAACTGATAGCAATATGACACATATTACGTTTTTTAGGTAAATATATCACATAATCATAGTCGTGACTGCTAAATTTAAAATAAATCGTGTTAAAATATTGAAAGTATATTCTTTTTTTACATAAACAATGGCCCATATTCTATGATGTAAATTCAAGTATTAATATTTTTGATTTTTATTTTTTCCTGTGATTTTAGTAGTAATTGTTGAAGTTGTTGGTTCATTAATTATGAGTGTGTTTTGAGACTCAATTAATTTTAAAATGAGTTTTGTAATAGTTATTATTATTATTTTTTGGTAGTTAAAAAGAGAGAAATTAGATTTTATTGAAAAGAATGAGTTGTTGAAAATGAATTTGGGAAAAAAAATGAAATTTTAAATAACGGAGATATATAATTTATTCGAATTTTGGAGAATGTAATAAAAATCCATGATGGTTAAAATGAATTGAATAGTACGTATAATTTAACGACTTAAATGTAGGCTTGGATCATTTCACATCAAGTCTACTCGTTCGAAATATCGCCAAACTTGTTCAATTGACTAACGAATATGTAATTACAGTTTAACGGAAGTAACATTGTGAGTTCAGTGATTATATATGCTGAAATAAAAGTTTGACTACTAAAGACATATTTTGAAAGTATAGGGGCATAATTGCAAATCATTTAATACCGCTATAGTCTTCTTTCCGAAGAAACCCGAATCGAACCCCCAAAAATTCTATCAGTTGCCCAGTAAAATCTCAGGAATACCCAAATACACAGAGGAACAAATTCTAGATGTCCGGGATGGAAAGACTACAAAGAATGTTTGCCGGCGCCGGCGGCGCTCTTGGACACCCGCCGCCGGATTCTCCGACCCTTGATACCTCCGAACAAGTCTACATCTCGTCTCTCGCTCTACTCAAAATGCTCAAACACGGTAAATCTAGGGATTCGTATATAGTTTAATTTTACATGAATTGTTCTTTGATTTTGGATGGTTGTTAATGGAATTATGGTTTTTGCGGTGTTGTATGATGTTATAGGGAGAGCGGGAGTGCCGATGGAAGTGATGGGGCTGATGCTGGGGGAATTTGTGGATGAGTACACGGTGCGCGTGGTGGACGTTTTTGCGATGCCGCAAAGTGGCACAGGGGTTAGTGTGGAGGCCGTGGATCATGTTTTCCAGACCAATATGCTCGACATGCTCAAGCAAACTGGCAGGTAAGGAGGAGATACATTTTCCTTCTTTTTTTGTGTGTATTTTTAGGTTTTTATAATTGTTGTGTAGGTATTTTGGAAATTAGAATGGAATCTAGTTGTTTGGGAAAGTTGATCGGAATAATGTGAAGAATTGTATAATTTGCGAAGGTGGTGGAAACAAAACTAGATGTGGAGTCGGAATAGATATTTTCTCACATCGTCTGTGGTGATTGCTTCTTTCCAAAGAAGAAAAATGCATATAATTTATGGCTGAACCATCAAATTTAGATTTCCTTTTTGAAAGTTTATTTGATCGAATCCTGAAGTTGATTCCCTGTCCAGCGCTCACTGAAAGAAAAGCAGAGAAAGAACCTTGAACAGTAATTGGTAGAGCTCTCTTCCACAGGAAATGTTGTTCTTTACTTCAATTAACTAACTTACACCCCTTTCGATACTATATTTTCCTGAATTTTTTGTAAGAGCATGTTCAAGGAATTTTTTAATTAGATGCATAATTTTGAAAAACCTAATGTACATAAAAAATATGAAAAAGAATTCAAAATGACAAAAAATAATGATTTCAGATGTTTGAAATTTGCCAAACTCAACCACTGTTAGAGCTGTGTGATAAGGTTGTGTTGCACAAAGAGGGGGTTAAGACTGTTAAAATTACTAAGCTCAACTGGTTTGATGTGTTCAAGATGAAATTTCTACCAGAAAACTCGTTTTGAGCTCATTTTCCTGCCAATGGCGAGGTTAGTGTGGAGGCCGTGGATCATGTTTTCCAGACCAATATGCTCGACATGCTCAAGCAAACTGGCAGGTAAGGAGGAGATACATTTTCCTTCTTTTTTTGTGTGTATTTTTAGGTTTTTATAATTGTTGTTTAGGTATTTTGGAAATTAGAATGGAATCTAGTTGTTTGGGAAAGTTGATCGGAATAATGTGAAGAATTGTATAATTTGCGAAGGTGGTGGAAACAAAACTAGATGTGGAGTCGGAATAGATATTTTCTCACATCGTCTGTGGTGATTGCTTCTTTCCAAAGAAGAAAAATGCATATAATTTATGGCTGAACCATCAAATTTAGATTTCCTTTTTGAAAGTTTATTTGATCGAATCCTGAAGTTGATTCCCTGTCCAGCGCTCACTGAAAGAAAAGCAGAGAAAGAACCTTGAACAGTAATTGGTAGAGCTCTCTTCCACAGGAAATGTTGTTCTTTACTTCAATTAACTAACTTACACCCCTTTCGATACTATATTTTCCTGAATTTTTTGTAAGAGCATGTTCAAGGAATTTTTTAATTAGATGCATAATTTTGAAAAACCTAATGTACATAAAAAATATGAAAAAGAATTCAAAATGACAAAAAATAATGATTTCAGATGTTTGAAATTTGCCAAACTCAACCACTGTTAGAGCTGTGTGATAAGGTTGTGTTGCACAAAGAGGGGGTTAAGACTGTTAAAATTACTAAGCTCAACTGGTTTGATGTGTTCAAGATGAAATTTCTACCAGAAAACTCGTTTTGAGCTCATTTTCCTGCCAATGGCGACCTAATTCTTCAATCCAACTTGAATCTAGTTGAGACTAATTTGTGTAGGGTTGAGTTGTTTAGACAAGGTAGAGATGTCTAATGAAAGTCTAGATGAGCTTTAGATGTTGAGAGAAATTGTTTCATTCCTTCTAGAAAGGTCTTGTATCATAGTTTTGTCTATCAGAAGTTTGGTGATGTAGAATCAATCAGGAAGAAGAAGAAGAAGAAGAAGAAGAAGAAGAAGAAGAAGAAGAAGAAGAGAGGAGAGAGGCGTGATCACAACCCATGAAAATTTAAATTTCTTTCATTCATCAAACTGATCTTTCAATCCAAATTACAATCATAAATAACAAAATAATGAACTTGGGTTTGGGCTAACTCATATACAAGCCCAATGAAACATAAAGTCTAAATTAAATAAATAGAAGGTAAAATGGCCCAACAAATGGCCTGATGAGGATGATGTCCACATCAACTCTCACGGGGTGGGAGAAAAGCTCGACCCTGTTGAGTAGGGAGATCACAAAAAGGCTGCTGTCAATCTCTCAGCCACAAACTGAGCGATTGAGCAAACTTTTTTTGACATCTATAGTCACGTAAGGGTGGTGGTCCGGGCAAGGGAAGATCTTGTTGACTCCTATAATGCTCCAACAAATCAGGATCAAGCTGCTGAAGTGTCTTTTTGGATATCCAAGTATAATCAGAATCAGGACGGCCCTTCCAACGAACAAAGAAGCGTTGAATGTCTCCATCCTTGGTTAATATGGTCTGTGCATCTAGAATAGTATCAATTTTATCTTTATATGCTGCAATAGGTGGAATCGAGGTGGGGATAACATGTTCAGGATCAGGATCCACAGATGGACGTGTGAAAAGATTATCAGCGGGGTGAAATTGGTCTTTGTAAGCAACTATGTCCTCAACATTAAAGGTAGGGTGGTAGCCAAAATGTGAGGGTAAGTCAATGACATACGCATTTGAACCAACACGCTTTAAAATTTTAGAAGGACCAGCTCTACGAGCTTGTAATTTGGAAGCAGGCCCAGATGGACGCCGTTCCGGCCTAATTCGAATCATAACATAATCTCCAACATTAAATTCAACGTGGCGTTTGTGCAAATTAGCTCAAAGTTTATATAATGCATTACCTGCTTCCAGTTGTTTATTGATCTCAATATGCAAGTCACGCAGATGTTGTGCAAAAGTCTCAGCTGACACAGACGCACTAGCATGTGGAGACATGGAAAGAAGGTCTAACGGCTTCCTACTCTTAAAATCATGAACAATCTCAAAAGGACTTATACCTATAAACCGATTCACTAAACTATTATATGCAAGTTGAGCAGTAGGAAGAATAAAGTCCCAATTCCTAAGATTTTCCTGGACTAGACACCTTAATAGATTACCAAGGCTGCGGTTAACAACTTCAGTTTGACTGTCCGTTTGTGGGTGGTATGCAGTAGAGAATTTCAGTTTAGTGCCAACCATACCCCATAGGGTTCGCCAAAAATGGCTAGTGAAACGAACATTCCTATCCGAGACAATGATCTTAGGGAGGCCATACAGCTTGACGATCTCATGAAAGTATAACTTAGCAAGCTTAGATGCAGCGGAGGTTTTGTTATAGGGAATAAAATGCGCCATTTTCGAGAAGCGATCTACTACAACGAAAATGGAGTTGTGTTTCTTTGGAGTACGTGGCAACCCTAGCACGAAATCCATACTAACATCTTGCCAAGGACAACTAGGGACGGGGAGAGGCGTGTAGAGGCCTGTATTCTGCTATTACATGTGCCAACAATCTTGGCCACTTCTGTCTTTAAACTGTGCTAATAGAATTGACGTTCAATCTCCTTTATGGTCTTATCACGCCCAAAATATCCGGCCAACCCGCCAGCATAACTTTCCCACACTATAAAGTCTCGCACTGAAATTCTCGGGATGCAAAAGTTATTGGATCTAAAAAGATAGCCCTTCTCCAAACGAAAACCATCAGTGGTGTCCAACTCTCCATTTTGTAAAGCAAGAAAAATGTCTTTGAAATCGAGACATGACTTGTACTCTTCCTTAAGTCTTTCAAACCCTATGACTTTAACACTTATGATGGACAACAAGGAGATGCGATGCCTTAAAGCATCAGCAGCTCGGTTTTCAACACTCTTTTTATGCTTTAAGACAAAAGAATAGGCTTGCAAATATTCGATCTAGCGGCCATGCCTAGAATTCAATCGTCTCTGGAAATTAAGGGAACGAAGGGCTCATGGTCCGAAAAGAGGACAAATTTGTGTGGTAATAGGTAATGACGCCAATAGCAGGCTTGTACAACTACATACAACTCCTTATCATAAGTCGAGTACCGTTGTTTGGCATCATTTAATTTCTCACTAAAATAAGCAATAGGATGACGTTCTTGACTCAAGACTACACCTATTCCTACCCTTGGCGCGTCACATTCGACCCCAAGAACTTTGAAAAAATCTGGGAGTCGCATGGTAGGAGCCTCTGTCATTCACTTTTTGATTAACGGAAAGACCTTAGCCGCTTCTTGTGTCCAATGAAAGTCTCCTCTCTTCATACACTCTGTGATAGGAGCGATGATTGTACTAAACCCCTTGATGAAACGACAATAAAAGGTAGCTAAACCATGAAAACTCCTAACATCATGTTTATTCTTGGGGTCGGGCCACTTAACAATTGCCCGAATCTTCGCAAGATCAGCAGATACTCCTATAGCAGAAACAACGAATTCGAGAAACACAACTGTATCCATGAAGAAAGAACATTTCTTCACATTGGCATACAAGCTTGTTGCATGCAGTGTAGAGCAAACTTGCGTTAGATGATCTCGATGTTGTTTGCTTGTTTTGCTGTACACGAGGATGTCATCAAAGTATACGACAATGAATTTGCCCATGAAAGGCCGAAAGGCCCGTGTCATCACTCTCATAAAAGTACTTGGAGCATTGGTTAGTCCAAAAGGCATTGCCAACCACTCGTATAGACTATCTTTTTTTTAAATGCAGTTTTCCACTCGTCTCCTGGGCGGATCCGAATCTGATGATACCCACTCATCAAATCGATTTTGAAAAAGATTGTGGCACCGACCATCATATCTAGCATATCATCAAGTCAAGGGATGGAAAAACGATACTTGACAGTGATCTTATTAATAGCGCGACTATTAACGCACATCCTCCAAGAACCATCCTTCTTAGGTGTCAGAAGGGCGAGAACTGCACAAGCGCTTAAGCTTTCACGGATGAAGCCTTTGTGAAGGAGTTCACCCACTTATCTTTGGAGCTCGGCATGTTCAGCAGGATTCATTCTATAATGAGACAAGTTTGGGAGAGACGAACCTGGAACAGATCTATAGTATGTTGAATATCCCGTAAGGGAGGCAATAGATTAGGAAGGTCGTTAAGAAATACATCCTTAAATTCCTGAAGGAGTGATTGAGCTTCAGTAGGGGTCGCTATTCAGGAATCGGACGGGACTTTTATAACAATCACAACAAATACGATTGAGTCATTTGCGATTGTCCGTTCAAATTCTGTAGGGCTAATCACATGTAATCATTTCCTCTCGACAATTTTTTTAGCTTGGTGTAAGTCAATAGATTTTGGTGGTAAAGGATTAAGGTGAATCTTCTTTCCATTAAATATAAAAAGAACATGAATTTGATCGCCCATGGATAGTTACATCCATATTGAACAACCAAGGTCGACTAAGAATGACATGTCCGACATCCATAGGGATGACGTTACACCATATATGATCCTTATACTCAAGGAACTGGATAGGCACTAGACAACGCTCTTTCACGGCTATAGAAGAGGAGTCAACCCAAGAGACACTATACGGTTGGGGGTGCGAGACTGACTTCAATCCAAGACGGGACACTGTGGTCACAGAAACCGCGTTAATACAATTCCCACTGTCAACAATAATCTTACAACCCTTATCGTGGATTTTGATATAAGTATGAAAAATAGCATGACGGTGCCAATCATCGACATCCTTGGGTTGGGTAAGGGTACAACGTACAACACTCAATCGAGAGGTGTCGAGGGCCAGAGAAGTAGGACCTAGACCTACAGGAAGGGTACGAAGGCAACCTAAGAAGATATTCTCATTATCACCCAAATCGTCAAACTTTTCAAAGTTAGGCTCATAGACTTGGTCTTCTAACGTCTCATCAATGACATCCTTCCGCTCGTCAATAACCAAGGCTCGACTTGGACATCTAGAGGAGATATCGCCAAATCCCTTCCAATTGAAGCATTGCAAACGAGAAGAAGTTCTTGAAGTTTCAGGAGCTTTACCTTTATTGTCTAAAGCAGGGAGTGCGTTAGATGGTGGAGGTCCTAGAAGAGATTTGGCGGTAGGAGGTGGTGCTGATGGGATGGATGGACGGTTATCACTACGCCTTCCATATGGAGTCTTAATAATTGACTCGTAATCTCGAATTAAGGAATAAGCGTGATCGAGAGTGGTGAAACCTTGAAGGACTAGCTCACGCAGAAGATCGTCTCTTAGGCTATGTCTGAACCTACTTAAAGTCATAGCTTCATCTTCGACGATGTGGCATTGCATTCGGAGCTCATCAAATTGAGTAACATAGTCAGTCATTGGTCAGTTTCCTTGTGTGAGCGTGTTCCACTGGTCCAACAAGTTGCTTCGATAAGAGTGGGATAAATACTTCTCTTGAAGGCGGCGCTTCATTTCCTCCCAACTTCCAACGGGAGGTGCATGACGCCTCTCAAGAAGGTCCTCAATGCTTTCCCAAAAGAGTTGGGCAGTACCAGTTAATTTCAAACTGGCAAATTGAACTCTTCAATCCTTTGGGACTCCATACCATGAAAAGAAACGATCCATGTCTCTAATCCATTGTGTAAAAACTCTAGGATCTAAACAGCCATCGAAGGTAGGAGCGTATAATTTGATGTTTTGCAAGTAACGCTCCTCATAGCGAGGAGGTGAATGAGTACCATAATGGTCATGATCTCGTTCACGATCATGCTCCTATTCCCCATTCCTTCGCCCATGACGAACACGCTGTCGACCACCATGTCAATGACAATAGGGTATGTTATGAGATGCTTCAGAGTTATCAGCGTTGGTTGAGGGAGAGGTTTGTTCTAAATTGTTTACCCTAGCAGCTAGTTCTCTACTCTCTTCACAAGTAGCAGTAACCTCGGTTTGGACGGTTGTTAATTGAGCCTGTAGTTGAGCCAATTGTCAAGTAAGGACATCAAATTGAGAAGGGTTCATGATCACAGTATTGGAATTGAGTATGACAAAACGACTACTACGCAAATGCATGCAATGTAACATTAACTGAGTGCAGTAAATGACGAGATCAATACACAACCAGTTCAAGAAATGAAAATAACTTCAACATTTAACTTTTTTTTTTTTTTGGAATTATGAAAATTCAAATGTGTCAAGCTGATACTGCTGATATATGTAAAATAATAAAGCAAGGGGTCAAACACTAGTCAACGAGATAAGCACGTAAAATAAATTGGGGGGTAAAATATGACAAGAGGATTTAATCACGTGAATTTTATGTAAAGGCTGTAGCACAAAAGTTAATCGATACAATTCAAGATAAACAACGATATAAACTGAGGATAAATAAAAATAATAACTTCCCTTTTGTTCGTTTGAAGAAGCCGTGTCCAATCAATTGGAATGAAAGAGATACTTGAAAATGATGTTAGAAAAAAATAACTTCATTTTTTTATTTTTTTTTACAAAATCAAATAACACCTTGACGTAAAAGACTGTATTCAAAATATATCAGACCCAAGCTACTAATATTGAACCCAAATTGAAAATCAAAATCTCAAGTACACAATTACAAACCCAGAGGATGACCTAAAGCACAACCCAAATTACAAATCCAAATGCAACTTTTATCTCTAGCCTAAATGTTTTCCAACCATATTTACAGGGTACTATGGTAGACGATTGTAGATCGAGGGGAGGTGAGATGTCGATGGCTACGGTGATTATAGGCGACTGTGAAAGAGGAGGCGGTGAAGGAGAGAGTTGACTGTTTAGGGTCGCTGGTCTAGGAGTGGTCGGCGATTGGTACCAGAATGTCACACAATGAAGTGGCGGTCGCGGTTTGGGTATTTCGGGGTGTTGCGACAACGAGAGAGAGGGGTAGCAACTAGTGATTGTTGACCGCATTGGTAATCCAGATGTATGGTGGAAGGAATAACATTTTGGCAGGGATTTCAGTTGATATGGGTGGTGCTCGCAAACTTTTAGGGTCGCAATTTAGAGAAGTTACTGGCAGTTACTATTTCGATTCGTGGGTTTTGTGTGGCCGGAATAGTGGGCTGTGTGGTGGATTATTATGGGTTTAATGAGTGTGGGCGGTCATTATCGTGAGTGGGTTTCGATTGTTAATTGAATAGATGCCGGTTACAATGGAGTTGTTCAACCAGAGTGTGCTGTATTTTTATTATTATTTATTTATTTATTTTGGGGTTGAAGGAACTGGGGCTGGGTTTATAATTTGGCAAGCAGATGGCACTTGGGGTATAATAACAGGTTGCTTGCTGGTTGATCTCAAGGGTGGAGGTGTTGCGTACGGTGGTAATTTGAACAGTGGCTGTGGTACGTAGTTGATGACTAGAGGTGAAAGTTGTAGCTGTGTAACTGAGTTTTTCTTCTAAGTTTGGCTCTGATACCAAAAATTGATGTAGAATCAATTAGGAGGAAGAAGAAGAAGAGAGAGGGGGGAAACTGGGGGAGAGGAGAGAAACGTGATCACAACCTAGGAAAATTTCTTTCATTCATCAAACTGATGTTTCAATCCAAATTAAAATCATAAATAACAAAATAATAAACTTGGGCTTGGGCCAACCCATAAACAAGCCCAATAAAACATTAAGCTTAAATTAAATAAATAGAAGGTAAAATGGCCCAACAAATGGCCTGATGAGGATGATGTCCGCATCATTTGGCCATCTGGTTCGTGTCCATTGCTGAACTAGATGTATGCATGTAAGCATTTCTGTGGGAAGAGAAGGATGCTGTTCACTACATTGTATACGAGTTGCTTTATTCTTGAGACTATGTGGTGGAAGAGAGGAAGAATGGTCATGAGGCTAGTTTCTGTTGTGGTGATGCTAAAGATATGGGAGCCGTCATATACTCACTAATTGGGATGCTTAATTGGACATAAGGAGGTCATTTGCTTACCATTCTGAGTTGTGCTCATTCAAGGTGGTTAAGTTCAGGGAAGCACGAAATTGTTAATTTCAACTGTGGGCCTCAAAGAACCAGTAGGAATAGCCACCAATCCATTCTATTCACATCCCAGTCCTCTTTTTTCCCCAATCAAACATCCACGTAAAGATCAAGTTTTATAGAGTCGGAGACATAATCATGTAAGGTAAATTAAAAGCACTTATGGTTGCTGTATTTTTATGTCCAATCTTTCAGCTTGCTTCCAATTTGGTAATGTTATCACGAAAAAGGTCTTTGTTCAGTTTAATCAAATATGGTGTCTATCATTCTTCCAATCCATTTTGTGGAACCATTTGTTCTCTCTAATTTCATTTTATCAAACATTGGAAACATATTTCTTTAATATGAATTAATTCTTGCTTTCTTTTGCATAGTACTTTGTAGCTCTTATGAGAAGCTGCAATTAATATTGTAGTATGTAAGTCTTATCTTCATCCAATCATTTTGTGAAATACCTTAAGAATAACAACCATACATCCTCAAAAGGGACTTTCCCTCATTTTCATGATAAGTGAGAAATTTTCTTGATATTTAAAATGTCAATATTTTGTTCTGCATATGTTTAATTCATATAAAGTTGTGTGACTTGAGTTTTTCTAGTACAACTTTCTTTAATAAAGACTGTTCATTGAAGCTTTAAAATTTTGCCGGTTAATTGCTTCGATTTATTTATGTTTTCCTGAATTTCACTCTGTTTTGAAATTGTTTTCATTTTGTTTTCTCTGAGGTCACTTGAAGGGCTATGTAATCCAACTCTTTTTTGAATCTGGATGTACGCTCATGGAACACTCATTCAGGATTTTCATATTACTCTCTTTTTGTAATGACTGACACTGCATCATATCTTTTCTCCTTTCTTAATGGGTAAACTCAGCATGTTTTTTCTGCTCAATTTTGCAGACCTGAGATGGTTGTTGGTTGGTATCATTCACATCCTGGTTTTGGATGTTGGCTTTCTGGTGTTGACATCAATACTCAACAGGTCATTATCGGCGTTGATTATTTCTTGGCACTAGATGATATTATATCTGTTATTTGTACCTGCATATGTCATCAATATTAACGTGTTGACATCTATAGCAATTTTAAATATAATCATTTGGGCCTTGTTTGGTTCCCATTCTTCCCAAAATATATTTTTCTCTTTCTTTTTTTCAACCACACATTATTCATTAAAATAATATTACACATAAATCAAAAACTTTTCCTTATTTTTCAACCATACATTTCCTATCAATCTACTATTCTAAAATGCATGTTTTCATAAAATGGGGCTCAAACACCGTCTTAGCATTATTGGCATCAATGAGGAATTAGCAAATAAGGGGGACTATTCTTTCACTGAATCATAGCACCATAAATTGGGAAATTCTCCAACCAAGTTCTTTGTTATATCAGCCTTTATAGAATCCATTGAACTTTAAATAAATCTAATAGGTGACAGCATCTCAAAATCGACAATCATTTATGCTGAAACTTAAGGTTCTGTGGTATTTATGGTATGTGTCATATTAGGCCAAGGTCTATCTTTCTCAATGATTTTTCGTCATTTGTTTTTAGATTTACTACATGTTGGAGAGGTCTTATGACCAGTAAATTTTATGGGATTTACTATTCAACACATAGGTGTTGACACTCTTATTTGATTCTGAATGAGTTGATTTTACAACAAACACACATGGGAAGATTGCTTTGCTTTTGTATTATCTGTGGCGTTCCATTGAGTAAATTTTTTTTTTTTTTCTAATCTCCTTTTAATCTGAAAAAGCACATCTTCTGGTGCTTCCAGTTACCGTCATCTGTTATATCATGCAGAGTTTTGAAGCTTTGAATCAAAGAGCAGTAGCTGTGGTGGTGGATCCGATTCAGAGTGTTAAAGGGAAGGTGGTGATTGATGCCTTTCGTTTGATTAACCCTCAGACCATGATGCTTGGCCAAGAACCACGCCAGACAACATCCAACCTGGGGCACCTCAATAAGCCATCTATCCAAGTAATTGCGATGTTGCTACTTGGTGTTGTTCATATTCAGTGTTATTTAGTCTCTAGATTTTAATTACAAGAGGTTATCTATATTGCAGGCTTTGATTCATGGTTTGAACAGGCATTATTACTCCATTGCCATAAATTATAGGAAAAATGAGCTTGAAGAGAAAATGCTTTTAAATCTTCACAAAAAGAAGTGGACAGATGGATTGACCCTGCAGCGGTTTGATGACCATTCAAAAACAAATGAGCAGACAGTTCAGGTATTTTTCAGGGTTGCCTGACATTTTATGGTTGATAATGGGTTTGTCTACTTCGTTGTTGTTAAGCAAAGGAACGTTATTGTTAGCTTATGTCTCTGCTTATGCTTAACTATGGGAGCTTCCTTGAACAACTGGATTTTTTTATGCATAACAAATCAACTGTTGTCTCCAGAAACAAATTAACAGTGTTCAGTGCAGAAATTGAGCTATATTTTGCTACACAATCAGTGCAGTATGGCCACAGGTTGGACTGAAAATAATCATTTGAGTGGCTGGAAATATCATGTAAATAATGACTAGCTGGCCAACACATGCCCTGATCATTCTTCTGTTTTGACGCCTAGCATTTGGAGCTTAACCATCAGGATGCTAGTGTGAGAGAAAAAGCATTACAGAAAATCTAGCTAGTAAATATGGTGGATTGGAAAAATGTAAGATTCAGGAAATTTTTTAGATATACTCTGTCAGTGAAGGAAACTTTTAAACACCCAGGGAGCTCTCCAATCAATCATTTAGTGAAGGGTTTGCTGGGAAAAGCTCGGCGCTTATGAAGACAATTCCTTAAATCTTTTGTTTTTCAGCTTTTGTTTTGTTTCGTTGTGTCTTGATAAAAAATTCTGAAGTGGAGATTTTCTGTCAGTACAGTAAGCAAACTTGATAATTTTTAGTTCAAGAGCTGACTTTTCTAGGGCGAGAATCAGTGCCACATTGGTTTTAATTCACTAGTATGTGATTTTAGAATCAATCTAATTCTGTGATAGGTTGAAGGATAGAGTGATAATGCCTTATTTGAGGTTATCCTAGTTCCAAAACTGACGTTTCTGGGACTGGACTTAATGAAAATTTAGAAGATAATGACAAAATTAACCTGAGCGTCTTTTCGTACTACCTTGGCTGAATGGACCGTATAATTTCAGTGAGGGATTCCTTTGATATTTTTCTCATGTGAAACATGGGCATTTATTGTAGGTCATAATTGTGAAATACCTTGTATAAATGTTAGTTCTTATTTCACGTGCATGTTTCCCTTTGTGTGTGATATACAAGCAATAGCAACTAATGGTCTTCCTTTGTGGTAGAACCTGTGGTTATATAACTTGTTTCTTTGTCTATGGACATCTCTCTGTGAGCCACAACCTACTCGACCTAATATGATCTCTTTTCTACTTTATTGTACTCATCCAAGCACCCTATTTATTTATTTATTGGCTTCAAATGCGCAGGAGATGCTAAATCTAGCTACCAAATACAATAAAGCAGTTCAAGAGGAGGATGAATTGCCCCCGGAGAAGTTAGCTATTGCTAATGTGGGAAGGCAAGATGCCAAGAAGCACCTCGAGGAGCACGTCTCAAACTTGATGTCTTCCAACATTATTCAGACACTGGGAACGATGCTAGACACTGTTGTCTTCTAGAGTCAATAAACCCAGTTTCTCGAGGTTGGTGAAACCAAATTTGATAAGATTTGTTTTTTCTTGGATTCGATCAACACTTTCCAAGTACTGGGTGAGCTAAATTATCTCATACATAATTCCATTTCAAATTTGTCATGATTTCTGTTGTATTTATTCTGTTCGGGATAACTAGTTGCACTCACCTATCATTAGTAATTTGTACAATCTTTGGATGAAGGTTTATTCAGACCATATTTGAATTATTGACCATTGACATCTATGATGAAGGCATTCATAGTTAGACGGACAATTCCTACAAGAATAATTGTTAGCCATATTTTTAACTTCCATTTCTTTGACTGTCTTACATCCTTTTAAGTACAGTGTAAGACTTAACCATTGTGCGCCCAAAATTCATAAATTGATACTGTCGAGACTTGAGTTCAAGTCTTTGCATGACCTTGCTACCATATCATCCGTCTCGTTTAAAAGCTTAAATCAATAAAGAAGTAACACGTGTATTTATCTAAATATATTTGTCAGTAGAGGATAACGGGGAATGATCCCCCAATCCAGGATTGGAAGAAGTGCTATATGAGTTGGATATCAAGTAGGATATATTTCTTTCCATTCCTCACGAGCCACTTGCTTCAGAGAAACAAGGGATCCATAGCAAAACATTTTGCTAACAAAACATTTCAGTGTCATCCTGCAAAGATCCTTGCTGGTACAATCTTTGACCTTATGCTTTTTGCCATTGGCCACCAAATCTTGTGCTTTCTCAAAGACTAGACTCTATAATAGGAGAAACCAGTAAGCAACATGACATGAGACAAAAACTTCACAATCTCTCCACTACTGGCCCCCGCACCCACCCACCTCTCACTTTTCTCATCTCTTATCTTTAGATGCGTATACATACAACATAACTTTGGGTGGCTAAATAGAGAAGATGAGTCTGTCAAAACCCAAATAATGCCTCCATGATTGAGATGTTGACCTTCACCTAGGCAAAAAAAATAAAAAAAGGATTTTTTTTTTTTCTATGCCAGTTTGGACTAATGGACCACATAGTACACGTGTGGGCTCTTACCATCTCACCAAACTGTCGTTTCATGTTTTCTTCCACAATATTATTTTTCCTTGTTTTAGTTGCTTTCATTTTTGTTCTCTCTGTCAAAGAATTTCTACAAGATGACTTTTACCCTAAACTTAGGTCATGGGATCTTCATATAGTAACGCATATTCTTCTCTTCAAGTCACTTTCAACTGATTGGTAAACTAGACTCAAACGACTTTCTTTATATGCTTGGTACATTTAATCAGACAATTCCTCAAGTGAAGGGTAAAGTCATTCATGTTTCTTCGGTAACGTGTTACGTTATACTATTAATTGGTGTTTTGAAAAATGATTTTTAATTCATGTTTGGTATGTTAAATTAAGTAGTACTAAAAATAATAACTGATAAATTTTGTGGCACGTCCATATTTTTTAATTCTATATTCAGACGCTAAAACCAAGTGATGGATAAAGTTATTCACGTTGTCTTTTTTATGAACATCAAGCATGAATGGTACAATTAGCTCTTTATAGATAATGAATCAGTTGCAATTATGTACATAACAATAATGTACAAAATATCAAACCGTCTCTGTAGATAAGAAGACTTGTAACTAAGCCAACATAACTTCATGATAGGTAGGGGTGGACATGATTCCATATGGTTCTGGTTCCAAGAGAACCGAATCGAACCATGAATAACTAGAACCATGAACCAATGGTTTTTTTTTAATAATGGAACAAAATGGTTTTTTTTAAAGATGTGAAACTGAACTGAACTGAACCGTTCAGTTTCGGTTTGGTTTGGTTCTAATTTCATTTCTCAAACTTTTAGATTTACATTATATAAATTAGTAATGTATACTTAAATAAGAACTTAAACATCAAACATTTAGAAAGTTCAAATTTCAATCATTGAGATCAAAAAAGTCATAACTAACAAATAAAATATATTCATAATTTGAATACACAAATCAGTTTTCGTTTTCATAAAAAAAAATGTTTAATAAGTAATAGTAATGATTCATTAAATTAATTAAAGTAGTTTTGAAGGTACACCCCTACAATAAAGAATGAATTATCAAAATTTTTACAGTCTACTTCTACATGTAACATTAACCGTTTAATATTTGATGAATGTTTATTGAGTTTTTCTCTATTTGTAAAGAACACAAATAACTCATCAAACAATCAACGTAAAAAAAGAGTTTAGAGACTTTTTAAGTTACTAACCAATTTCATTTTTCGATCTTATATGACACTCCACTGACTTGATGAAATGCAGTACCAGTATGCTGCAAAGACGTGTAAATTGAAAATGAGTGAAGGAGAAATAATTCAATTGAATACAAAATTAGGGTGTAGACAACTAATGAGTTGTTTAACTTTAATGACCCAAAATTGATTAATAAACTGCATTCAATCAATGGGCTATCTTAAATGAATATAAAATTAAGATCTCCACTAATTGTTATATATAAAATTAAATATTAAGTTTGGTTCTGATTTTTGAACTGGAACTGAACCAGAACAAAAACCAAATGGTTCTCATTTCAAAGAACCAAAATCATTAATTTTTTGGATAAAATAGAACCGAATCGCTTGGTCTGGTTTGGATTGGTTTGGACATTTTGTCCACCCTGAATGATAGGTATATTAGGCTATTCATAATTCTTTTCTTTAAGATCCTAAAAATGGTAAAAACGAAGAATCTATTGTCAAAAACAAATTTCATGTCTTATAATTCTTGGGAGTAGAGGAGGTGTCTATATTTTTCATATGGGTAATTAAGTTGACGCCACAATTTTTATTCATTTCACTTTTTAATTGCACTAAAGCTCACCAACCTTTGCTCATGATCAGACTTGTGTCCCTAACTTTTTCTTCTTTGCATTATTGTCCTCAACCTTTTATTAATTTTCACATCTAGTCTAGGTGATTGTTCTATCCAAGAAGTCTGTTAGAAGGACATCAGAAGACTTATTTGTCCCTTATATTTTTCATAAGCAAAAAATAAAAAATAAAAAAATTGTGCGATAGATTTCTTTCCCTTCAATTCAGAATACACTAACATAATATTTAAACAAAAATCATTAAGAATAAAATGTACTATTAATAATATGTTGATGACAAGAATGTAATGACAACGAGTTAAATGATATGAGTGAAATGATGAGTAAGTTAGTGACCTATCAAATAATTGAAATAGGTGCAACATGTAGAGTATGTGATGTGAATATAATCACCTTTTGCACTATTATCTCTATAATAAAAGACTATTAATATGTGCACATGTTGTGACCTTGAAATATATGCACATGTATGTCTCCTGGGGCATAGTTTAGTGGTACAAAGGATAGAAGTGATGTTATCTCACGCTATATATATATATATATATATATATATATATATATATGCATTAAATTTATTGAATTATCATAAAATATGTTTTCTAGGTGAATAAACAATAGTATCATTATATATCACCTATAAAATGATTAAGTACTATCACTAATTGTACAACGAACCTCATTTAGTGCATAATAATAATGATTAAACTTGTTGCGTTGGGCATGGCGACGACTACATGAAAACTTTCCGAGAATGATATATAAACAAGTGACATGCACAAGATGTCTCAATTACAATATTGCACGTTATTATGTTTCTTTACTATTATCCACCACTTGATTAAAAACAATTTTTTTTTTTTTTTACCGAATATAATTTACCAAACATAAAGTTTGTTATCAATATTGAGAATATGTTGATCCAATAATTTACAGTTCTTCTTGAAGTTGATGTTGATAGTATATCCGACCATGACTTCTTCACATCCTCCTATGAAGGAATCACTTTAAATACAAAAATATAAGACAAATTAGTGCACTTCACCACTTTTTATTTTCATTTTTGTAAGTATACATTTCAATTACACCTAGAAAATTTTGATTTTGTATTGTAATTTCCTCATCACAGTACCCTTAAAGAAGGCCCCACTATTCCTCCCTCCATTTCATAGCCACACCATACCCACTTTCATCCATAAATTTTACTGATACAAAGTGTACAGTTCAAAAATGAGTTTATGCTAAAGCCTGGACCCCTACTCCCACCCCCACCCCTCCCAACCCAACAGAAAGACACAAACTCCACAGCTTCTGATTATCCTTATCTTTCTCGGGAAAGATTCATTCTTCATGAACGCAGCATACAACTCTCCAAATTTCAAACCATTTGCTTGTGTTGCGTTCCTAAGGAGACAAGTCATCATATCGAGCCAATATTGTTAAATCTTTTGACACAAAGTCATGGAAAGACAAAATCAGAAGATAAGAGAGAAAGATGAAGAGAAGCAGCATCCAGAGCCATGTGCAGCAGCAGCAGCCTCACCACCTTCAGCTTCTTCATCTCCCGAATTCTCCTTCTCCATTTCTGTCCATCCATCCACCGCGAAAATCCCACCTGGTAAAAATAAATCAACCCTTCCTTCATTTGCTGTAGATTTATCTCCAGCAGATGATATATTCTTTCATGGCCATTTACTTCCTCTTCATCTCCTTTCCAACCTTCCTGTCTCTCCTCGCTCTTCCACCAATTCGATGGATAGATTTACGCTACCCATAAAAGAACTAAGCAAAGAAGATGAGAGGATTGATCACCACAACTTTGATCAAAGCATTGGATTCGAAGCAAAAGGGAGAGAAAAGTCGAAGTCTTTCTCTTTATTTGGTCTACCAAAATGGCGAAAAGGTTGTGAAAATAGAGAAAAAGAAGAGAAGAAGACGACTAAATTGAAGTTCGAGCTAAGTCATGTGGTGAAAAGGTACCTGAGAATGGTTAGGCCATTGTTTTTATTCAGAAACAGAAGAGGAAATACTGAATTTGGGAGGCAGCCTTATTCACTCTCGGGGAATTTAATGTTTAAAAACAAGAAAGAATTGAGAGGAAAGAGAGGTGAATTTTCGGCGCCGGCTTCAATGAGGACATCTCCAACAAATAGTGGTCTTTTAGTGGCTACTGGCAGTCTTACTCCAACTAGTACTAGTGACAGCACCATGGAAGAATTGCAGGCAGCAATTCAAGCTGCAATTGCTCATTGCAAAAAGTCCATAGCAATGGAAGATAAATTGAATTCCCCATGAAAAGGTTTGATGATCAAAATCTTTATTATATGATATATTTTTTGTTCATATTTGGCTTGGATATAAACATATTTATCTGCATAGATATTATATGTATGGAAGATAGATGTTGTATGTAATACATATAAGTCAAGTCTACATTTATAGTTCATGGAAGAGCTACAAAATTCAATTCTGCATTTTTTTTTTTTTTTAAAGTTGATGCTAAAAGAATACTAATTGAATCTTGGGATGGTGATACACTCGTCTAATTTCTGGCTATACTTGTGAGGGGTGCGGAAAACTCGATGGGGAAAGTTTGATGATTAATCAAGTTAGAAATTTATACTTATAAGTCGAGCGAATATGTAATTCTTGTAAAACAATTTGATGAGTTTATGTTAGTTTTCGAGTGCACTTATGCAAATTAGTACTATCGAGCTATAATTCTTCTGATCCTCAACATTACTATTGGCTTTCTTGTTTCCTTTGATGGTAATAGCATTTACTGTCATTAGGAAATTTGCATGTGAAAGGTTGAAGATATTCTGAGGATTCTCAAGGATACTTTTTTGGTTCACACGTATTGTGACCAAACATACCCACGTGCACATCTTTTTTAGAAAAGTTAGTAACGGGAATTGAGACAATTCTTTCACGTCAAGATAATCTATAAAAATTTTGAAATGTAAAAGCATGAATATGACAAAATGGTTGTGGGTCATGTGATTTGATCTTTAGGATAGGCTCTTTTCAAGTAATTATTATCATATTTGGAACATACTATTAGGCAGAATCTATGCTCTAGGGTTACTAACAAGGAACTCTATTGTGTTGATTAGAGGTGAACGTGATTTCGTTCGGATAGTTTGTGTCATATTTTCAACTCAAACTATTTCATACGATTTGAAATTTTTTTCAAACCAAACTAAATCATTTTATTTTTCGAACCAAGCTAAACCATAATTTGCCGTTTGGTTTGATTTTATTCCGCAATTTATCCATTAAAATTATAGTAATATATTTAAAAACAAGTTAATATATAAGTTTAAACGAGAAATAATGATGTTAAATGTTAAATTACATTCACATTTCTCATGAAACCTGTGAAAAATTATTTTCAAAACTGGTTGCTAAAAGATAGAACGAACAAATCTTTCTTGCTTTTAATTTACCGTTTCTTGTTCACCTTCCATATTGTTATATAACGGTTGGTCAAGGCAAAGTCGTATTATATTATTATAGTTTGGTTAAAACTCATTTCATCTTGCTAGCGAGATGAAAAATAAGGACTGGACATTGTATGTTTCGATATATAAAGATTGACATAGTTCAGGCTTCTTGGAAATTGACGAATTTCATTCTCTAATTACTTCAAGAAACTAGAAGGAAGTATTAATTAGGGAACTTTAATATTTTCACTTAATCAATATGCTCCGTCCTTCATTCTTTTCAAACCATAAATAAATTCATTAATCACCTAAACACATAAACATTCATTTATTCTATCCAAACCATAATTGACAAGTGTATAATAAGTACAAAAACGACAAATAAAAGAAAAAAACAATATAAAAATGACTTGAATAAAAATATGAGACTTATTGAGAAAGAGGCGACTCAGGTATGAAAAAAATTCAAAAAGCGACTTAATGATTTGCGATTGGGAATCGCATTTCGTTCAGCAGTGGTAGACAAGCGTAAAATGTTTGAGAAATGAGAGTTTAGGTTAAGGTTCCTGAAGCTTTGGGCATGACTTACGGTAGTAGTTTTGTTGAATTATGATTTGGATTGTTGAAAATATATGCCCTTTTTTCATTGCATATTATCTGAGAATAATTTTAGTTTGGTTTAGATATAGGATTATGACGTGTGTTGTTGATTTTTTTATGATTTTTTTTTTGAGTAAAATTTGCAAGTTAATAAAATTAATTTTTGAATTAAAAAAACTTAAAAAACGATTTTGTTTGGCTTTGTGCCTTTTTTTTGAAAATCAAAATCTAAAATAATCTATTTTGAAACGACTTAGTTTGGTTTGAGGGAAAAAAAAAAAAAATCATGAGTTCACGTGGACTTGAACCAACGACTTCAGTTTGAGTTCGCAATTTTTTGTGTAGCCCCAATGTTGACTCTACTGAATTAAATAAAATTCGTATTTTCTAAAACGAAGATTTCGATCATATTCTGAAGAAATGGTAGTTATATACTTATATGCTTAACACATCAAGCCGAATATTGTTCGAGGAGATGGACCAGATGAAATAGTTTACTTGCACCTGAATAGAAAATCATATGAAGGTTCACTGACAATTGCCGACATGTTCCATATTGGTGACTTTATTGTTGCAGTGATGTAAAAAAAATTAAAAAATAAATAATAATAATAATAATAATAATAATAATAATAATAATAATAATAATAATAATAATAATAATAATAATAATAATAATAATAATAATAATAATAATAATAATAATAATAATAATAATAATAATAATAATAATAATAATAATAATAATAATAATAATAATAATAATAATAATAATAATAATAATAATAATAATAATAATAATAATAATAATAATAATAATAATAATAATAATAATAATAATAATAAAAATAGTTTACTTGCACCTGAATAGAAAATCATATGAAGGTTCACTGACAATTGCCGACATGTTCCATATTGGTGACTTTATTGTTGCAGTGATGTAAAAAAAATTAAAAAATAAATAATAATAATAATAATAATAATAATAATAATAATAATAATAATAATAATAATAATTTTGAAAATTCTTTTACTCCGATATTATCCCATTCCATTTTAGTAAGCAAGTTGGTAGAGTATATGGGATGCTTCTTATGATTTGATCATGATTAAGATCCAAATGTGATTATACAAATGATGCTTTGGTTTGATTTTCTCCCAAAAAGATCAAGTTTTCAATAACAAGATTCTTGTTTTCTAGCCATTGAGAATGCCCTATGGAGATTAAGAGAATAATTAATGGGCTCCAGGAAAGGAAAAGAAAAGAAAAGGATATGCATAAGTTTGATATATATACCGCCAAATAATACAATTTTATTGAAGAATACCTTTCCAGAAAGAAGATCCAAACTATATATTTAATAAAGCCTTTTTATTAACTTTTTAATAAAGATCCAAACAATTTTATGTTCCTAACTTTTTTATAGCCCCGTTTGCTTCCCATTAAAATAAAAAATATGATCATTATCCATCACATTTAATGATGGCAACGGGCCAGTTTGGAGTAGGGCGTCCCCGCCCCATCTAATGGGGCAGGGACGGGGCAACTTTTTGCCCCGTTTAATTTTTTTTTATTTTTTTTACATTTTCAAAGTTTCGAATTATATTATTATTAGAGAATGAAATACAAATTCAAAATTAATTTTTAACGGGTGAATTGTTTAGAAATAAAATTATTTTTAATCTTTTTTTTTT